AATCTGTACTTCCACTTTTACCAGAGTATTTTTTAACACAAGTATCTGTACTTTTACTCAAGTACGGAAAGTGAGTACTTTTGCCATCTCTGCAAAGCACAGGGTTTTTCTGTTAAACTTCTGTAAAAAGGGATTTCAAATATTAGAATGTTTCTCACAAACAAAGTTATGTGAAGCAAGTGGGTGCAGAGGATGTCTGGATTTGATTTCCCTGAAATTGTTCACAAATGAGGGCAGCTGCAGAAAAAAATGAGAATTAAATCTAATTTAATAACTATTTCTTCCTTACTTAAAATGAACATCCCAGTACAAAGAAACAATGGTTAAAGACTTGTTGGCTCAGATTAACACAGTATAATTTTATTTTACTCTCCACCTTTTCAGAAATATAACCCTGTTCATAAATTTGTTTTATTTCCTTTTATGCCTTGTAAACCAAGCATCAATTAAAGTAAGATCAAAGACATTTCTGACAAATAAAACGGCCTGCAGGATGAAGCCTTGTCATACACAATTGTTTCCAGTTTTCCTCACAGATGTATAGTCAGACTTGGATCTGAATCAGAAGTTAGATTTGAGGCCTGAAGCAGCAGATGTGGAGAAAGCATTGTTTTTGGGTTCACTAGGAGTCAAAACATATGGCACAATAAACAACATATTTACTAAAGCAGAGAAAAAGAAAAATTATGAATACACCCAATATGCAGAGCTCATGAACATAGCCCTAACCCAAAAAATAGAGATCATCCAAATAGGGCGCTGAACAACATGGCATAATTTTACAGTATGATAGTTCTGAATAACGTTCAAACAAAGTGACCACATATTACCAAATCCAGTTGTTTGGATATTAACAAACTTTTGCTAAATGCACTATTTTAGATTTTGGCAGGTTAAACAAGGTCTGCTGAGGAGGGACCAGGGCAAACCAGTGGGGCTTTATGAAAAAGAGTGTGGGAACTATTGATGCTTTGATACCCACAGTTTGAACTAACAGCTAACACCCTGTAGCTCAGTGTTTCACAGACGGCAGTTAAGTGCCAGGCGATTGAACAGATGCTTGCAATGTCAACAGGGAACCAAGGCACAAGGTCAGTGGATGGTACCAACATCAGTCCCAATGGGTATCAAGCCCCAATGATGCAAGAACAACTGAATGAGAAAACCACTGACTTAAAAATTAAGATCATGGTTCAGTTGAAAACTTGTCAATCCCAATATCAGCTGGTAAGGAGCTCCTCGCTGATCTCTTGGATGAAGGTACATAATGATGATTCACAGTGGCTACTAGACCAAAACGAAACTTCACTAATCTCCCTGAACAAGATTGACTGAACATTGCAATGGCAGACTTCTAACAGAAACTCTTAAGAAGAACTGGAAAGCACCAGGCCCAACATGATCCACACTGTCTGGCAGAAGAAGCTAACGTTTCTCTATGAGTGCCTGGTAGTGGCAACTGGATATTGTGATCTCTGATAAGCAGCAGAGGACGGCCGTAGTCGTTGTTTTGGCAATCCGAAATAATGGAAACATCAGGAACAAAAGATAATAAGTCCCTGTGTACCCAAATTCTAAGAATAATTAAACTGAATCTGTATACCAAATTATTATGAAATGTGTCTCCTTATGGAGAGATATAGCATTTCAGTGGTTAATAGCATCCTGCGGATAGCAAGATTATTTCAATAATAATCCTGGATCAGAACATCTGAATTTAGTCTGTTACTTAGAAAAGAGGATTCAATTTAGCCCCAGATCCAACAAAAAATGGGATAATATGACATTCATAGTAATGGGTAGACTAGCCAGCCATACTGATATGAGGTATACACAACGTATCAGTCTGATAAAGAGTTGATAGAGCTCCATTTCAAAGGTGGTAGTAAGAAGGTCAGTGTCATCAGGTTAGATAACTACAGACGTGGTGCAAAAACTACAAGATATGAGCTCTGTTTTTATGATTTTGTAGTTTGTGGAACGTGTCAACCGCAAATACGTCGTGTTAAAAAAATAACATAATAGCTGTGGGTGGTTGAGGTTTAAAGTTTGATCACTTTCACTTAGAACATCAGAATGGGTATCATTAAAACACTGTAATCGACCTCTTCCTGTTTTTCTAGAAGAAAAGCAGAAAGGCTCTGAGAGTAACTTATTGAAAAGTCTATAATAATTTCTACTGACTGCATACTTCACATGTACCATAACTCTTCCTTAGAAAGATTCTGTTTCTCCCAATGTACACAACACCGGAGACCAGGATGTTTTTTGAATCCTTCCACTTTAGAACCTATAATGAAATACTGTCATTGCCAGAGAAAGCGCGTGTCTCTGGTTTATATCATGAGCAATAAAGCAAAAAACTTTGTCTATAATTAGAAAATAATAATGTCCACAGGGTCATTGTTATTATAGTGCTGCAGTCACCGGAGAATCTGAAACAGCATGGTGCCTAAAGAAGACTTGTCTAAAACTCATCCTATACAAACTGTATAAGAAGTCTGCATTCGTATCTGTAAAATTCAATTCTTTGTTCAGCATTTCTCACAAATCTAAATAAAATGCAACATAGTATGCTGTACAGATACAGCTTCGTCAAGGATGTTTTGTTTTCAGGAGAGTTTTTGTGTGTGTGTACAGGATAACTTAAAAAGTTATGGTGCATCAGTGCAAGGAAGAATGTATAACATTTTGATGATGATCCAGATCACCATCTGGATGGAGGAAATTTTTTCGAAAGATTCTGTGAATGATATTAACTTAAGGTGGAAGTCGCAATTTGTTGGGAGAAATCAGGTAGGCTACTTAGTGGATTCCTGCGCTCTCTGAGTTCTTCTCTAGTATTGTTATTGAATCTTAAAGGTCATATCTATTATGAGCTTTTCATAATTTATGGAAGGTTTGTTTTTTCCGGGTGGCAAAAAAAAAAAAAAATACACTATATTGCCAAAAGTATTTGCTCACCTGCCTTGACTCACATATGAGCTTAAGTGACATCCCGTTCCTAATCCATAGGGTTCAATATGACGTCGGTCCACCCTTTGCAGCTAGAACAGCTTCAACTCTTCTGGGAAGGCTGTCCACAAGGTTTAGGAGTGTGTTTATGGGAATTTTTGACCATTCTTCCAGAAGCGCATTTGTGAGGTCGCACACTGATGTTGGACGAGAAGGCCTGGCTCTCAGTCTCCGCTCTAATTCATCCCAAAGGTGTTCTATCGGGTTGAGGTCAGGACTCTGTGCAGGCCAGTCAAGTTCATCCACACCAGACTCTGTCATCCATGTCTTTATGGACCTTGCTTTGTGCACTGGTGCACAGTCATGTTGGAAGAGGAAGGGGCCAGCTCCAAACTGTTCCCACAAAGTTGGGAGCATGGAATTGTCCAAAATGTCTTGGTATGCTGAAGCATTCAGAGTTCCTTTCACTGGAACTAAGGGGCCAAGCCCAGCTCCTGAAAAACAACCCCACACCATAATCCCCCCTCCACCAAACTTTACACTTGGCACAATGCAGTCAGACAAGTACCGTTCTCCTGGCAACCGCCAAACCCAGACCCGTCCATCAGATTGCCAGATGGAGAAGCGCGATTCGTCACTCCAGAGAACGCGTCTCCACTGCTCTAGAGTCCAGTGGCGGCGTGCTTTACACCACCGCATCCGACGCTTTGCATTGCACTTGGTGATGTATGGCTTGGATGCAGCTGCTCGACCATGGAAACCCATTCCATGAAGCTCTCTGCGCACTGTTCTTGAGCTAATCTGAAGGCCACATGAAGTTTGGAGGTCTGTAGTGATTGACTCTGCAGAAAGTTGGCGACCTCTTCGCACTATGCGCGTCAGCATCCGCTGACCCCGCTCCGTCAGTTTACGTGGCCTACCACTTCGTGGCTGAGTTGCTGTCGTTCCCAAACACTTCCATTTTCTTATAATACAGCTGACAGTTGACTGTGGAATATTTAGGAGCGAGGAAATTTCACGACTGGATTTGTTGCACAGGTGGCATCCTATCACAGTTCCACGCTGGAATTCACTGAGCTCCTGAGAGCGACCCATTCTTTCACAAATGTTTGTAAAAACAGTCTGCATGCCTAGGTGCTTGAATTTATACACCTGTGGCCATGGAAGTGATTGGAACACCTGATTCCAATAATTTGGATGGGTGAGCAAATACTTTTGGCAATATAGTGTACATACATACAGTATGTATATATATATACACTATATTGCCAAAAGTATTTGCTCACCCAGTGATTCGTTTTGATTGGAAAAAGATCCACCATTATTTCAAGAGTTTGGAGCTATTATTTTCATTAAAAGTCAGTCATTTTTATTATTATAAATATTTATCTCTATAAACACATCCCTTCAAATAAAATAGTGAATATAGAAAGAAATGCAAATTAGTGGACATGTAATTTTACTCTACATGCTAAAACCAAGATTGACATTTATGAACTTCTTTTTGACATGCAAATCTAACCTGACTACAGATTATTCCAGCAGCTGCAAAGTGAGATTATAGAAGATTTTAGTGACATTAATACTCAAAAACTGTATTTGACCATAACTAATACTGAACAAAAAGAATGAAGAGCCAAAAAATATTAACCTTAAAAAAAGAGAGCAGCTGACAATACTGTGGGGGAAAATAAACCATTTAGAAAAATATGCAAGTCATTAATCTCTTGGCTATGATCCAGCTTTTAGGACCAAGAAGAAAAGCCAAGCAAACAGGGTGCTCAAGTTTATTGATTTATTAGAACCATACAGGTTTTGCAATAAAAATGTCATATATAATACACAGCCTCATATTGATCTCCTCTCATGACAGCTAATAATATCTAACAGAGTTGTTAAAATGTCTGTCTCTAATTATCCTGTGGAAAATATTTGATTAGTTCTGATACCTTTGATCACAAAAAAAAACAGTGTTTGTACAGTGCATTGAAAAAAAACCCTCAAAATAACTTTGTGATTATATAAGAGGTACTAGGTTTCACTTCTTGTTGAGAACATTTTATTTTATTACAAACTTCAGTTTGTAAAAGTAAGATGTGTTTACTTCACTACTGACTTTTCAAACAGAGGAAAATCACAAATGATCAGTTCTAAACTGGGCTAATATGATGATGACACTGTAGTATTTAACAAATAAAGATAAAAATCAAATCATTAAATTAATGAATATATTCTCAAAAACTTTCTAAAAGTAACACATTTGTCACTGTGTGGGTAAAAATTAAGCTGTTTGAAATGTGATCAAATATGAGCCAAACAGCACAAACAATAAAAAAAAAAGATCTTTGTGTGAAAAGTCAAACATAGAATAACCCAGTTCTACTGACCCACTCGGTTGGCATCCCACCACCTGGACCATCCATCTGTACTGACAGGATGGTGCCCAAAAACAATGGATGTGACATTTCAGATTAATACAGAATATCAACTAATCAGAGGTCTGTGTGATTGTCAGCTACAGCTGTCTGGGCAAACAGATCAACAAGGTTATTCATACGCTCTTTATATTCACACCTTTTTGCCATTCCTTTGGGTACTTGACAAATTTTCAATAGTTTATTTTTGTTTATTATGGTTCTTTTATTTTAAATTACAAACCATGAGACTTAGTCTAATTTCTCCACCCCGACTAAAACAAAGGCCACACAAATTGAATTATCACCGGCACCATCACAGGACATAATGATGACTAATGGGGGACCAGGTGGGCATATCTGTTGTATCAGCCCATTGGTGGTTATGGAGATAAAAACAGATTATTATATAATAATGACTCATTCATCACTTTATCAGTGTGGCATCTGTCCATCTGGGTGCGTCTTATGGACACACGTCTCCTCTGTGTGTTTAAGTGCGTGTATCCGTAGTACAAATAACCAGGGTATGAAAAGCAGCTTTCATTTAAAGGGACACATTCAATACATTGTATCGAATGATCATTAAAGGGTATCTATATTTTTTCCAAGGTGAGGACAGACATCCTTAAATATGAAGTTTAAAGACCCTTTCTTCAAAATCCTTTCCGTTACATTACTATGGGAATGTTTTTATTTTTGCTAGGGCATAAAGGCTAATCAGAGTTGATGGGAATATGGAAGAGGTTAAATAAGGTTAGTCTTGAAATAAAACCTTCTCTAGGAGGCATGACATGAGACTGAGGTTCACCTTCCTAGAGGACAATGACCCTAAACTTTCCACATAGAATAATTTGGATGGAAGCATATAGTTATCAGTCAAAAGGGTCCAGTCAAAGTCTAGACAAAATACATGCAAGAATCAATGGGATGACTTAAAAAAATGATTATAACAGACACTTCTCTGATTGAGCCCAAACCGTAATGCAAGTTTGTAGTTGTAATGTGACAAAAAGCAAACAGTTGCAGTACCGTTGGTTAACCGCATATAACTGATAGTGTGCAGTTATGTGGTCAACACGCACGGAGCTACACAAGCTGTTACACGTGAATCAGCAAATGAGAAAGACAGTCTTGAACTCTGCACATTGATGCCGTTTTACCGCCCCTTTCTCTCCCCTTCTGCAGTCTTTCAGAGCTACTGAAAGGCTGCATGGTAGCAACTCTGCTTTAAGTGATGTGGGTGAGAGAGTGAAAGAGACAGACAGAAAAGTGAGGAGAGTAAAGGAGAACTAAATATACTAATACAAAGAGGAATCTGCAGTTTTAAACAGTTTAATCTATTAAATCGGTCCATCTGTGGACTATTTTTAACTGAAACCAAAACCAAGCAAGACATTTAAAAGGACGACACAGTGCACCCGAATTTTAAAAGTTCAGAGAACAGAGTTTATCCTCTCTTTTCATCATGTCTGAAAAGAGAGGATAAACTCTGATGACAGAAAAATCAAAAACTGCCCCATTAAAAGAGTTGTCAGTAGTGTATCTGCTTAATAAGCTGGAGGAGGTTCCTGACATGCTCAGCACGGCAGTGAGGGGAATGATGCAGCGGTAGCTCAAAGAAGGAGAACGTGAAGCTCCTAGAGAAGCTGAGGTTGGTGACTGGATGCAGTGGTGGAAGACGTGGAAGACGAGGAACCCGGCGCTGAGGTTCGACCTTCCTTCTCCCCCGCGGCCCTCTGCCAACTCCTCCTAAGACAACATAGCAGAAAATGCTTCTAATAATCAACCAGTGTTATTCTAATTATTTTATTACTCTCAGTTTCATTTTGGGGGTTTTAAGCATTCGTTATGGGCTGATACTTGAATAGAGACAAGTACATGAAATCTTAAGATGCTTACCCCAAGTGGTATGTTCTTTTTCTAAAATAAAGTAAGCTTAAATATGCTGTCGACACTTTCTTTACAGCTGCAAAAGCTTAATATTTCCTGGAAAAGCTGCCAACCATGTTTATGAGTCTTTTATTGGATTATATGATCATTGTTATGACCGGGGCCACAGTTTCTCCTATAAATAGTCCCACAGGTACTTCAGGCTAAGGTGAAGGCTTTAGGCCTTCAGTCCACACCTAACTTGTATTGCTAATTAGTTTAAGTAAGTCAAAAGTTTATTTGTATACCACATTTCATTGGCGAGGTAATTAAAATGTTTTACATCATAAAACCATCAGAACAAAGGTGCAGTAAAATCATGAAAATCAAACATTTAAAATTAGTGCACACTCTTTAGTTTACTCTTTTTTTTTTTTGGTTATGATTGTGTTTAATTTATATTCTCTTTAAGTTTTGGAGTTGCTCCAGTCCCTTGGCTAAGGAACCAGTCGGTGGTCAAGGAGCTGAGTTAATTTGGACCGTACCAAATCAATGCAATGGGGGGGGGAATTGGGTTTTACTTTATTTGGTTTAGTCAAGTTTTTGTATGTTGTTGTCTCATGTGTTTCTTGGATATTTTGAGTATCTTTGGTTCCTTTGACCTCTTTTCTGGATGCATTTTTATACTTGTTACATTTGATATTTTTTGGGTTAAATTAAAGAACCCTGTTTGTTAGATGCAACTGTATCTGACTTTCTTTACTGCTGGGCCCATCACAAGCTACTAATAAAATTGTTATGTCATGTTGGAAGAGGTAGCAGTCATTCCTGGAACCAAGAGGTTTGCATTTTCCAATGGCATGTAGACAATTAAAAAATTATTTTCATTAGAATTTCAGGACCAAATGCAACCTTAAAAAAAAAAAACAATAAATAAACTATACATTTAACACAGTGTCATCATGGATATATGGTTCTCTTGACAACCATCCTGTTAGTTAGACTGCCAGAAGCAGGATTTATCACTTCAAAGTCCAGCGCTGACTGCATCCCACGCACTGAATTGCATTTGGTGATGTAAAGCCTGGATGTAAAGTAACCTCTAACAGTAAATGAAGCTCTCTGTGCACTGCTCCTGGGGTAACCTGAAGGCATCATTAACATTTTAAAGTTTGTAGCAGCTGACTGAAGAAATATGCTATTTTTCTCAGTTTTTTTCAACTTTACTATGATACCAATAACAGCTAAGGTGTTAACTGCGAGAGACTAAACAGGGTTATCACAGCTTGGGGGGAAAAACTAAACTAAGGAGGTTCGCAGAGAGACCTAACTGGGTTTTCTCAGCTTTGTGGGGGGGAGACAAACAAGGAGGTTCTCAGTGAGACTAAATTGGGTGTTCCTCAGCTTGGTGAATTCCAGGGTCTGGTGAATCGGAACCGGAAACTCTAGGGGGAAGATAAGAGTGGTGAGTTCAAGGACCGAAGGGAAAATGAACGAGGCTGAAGAATGGTTCAGTTATGACTCACATTAAAGGGGTTCTTGGTAGATCCTTGGGTCCAGTTTGTCAACATATTCTCATTATCAGTTCGTATGAAATCGTACGAAAAGTTATGCACACTATTTCGTACGTTTTGGACGTTTTTCCTCAAAAACCCACTTCAGTGCGCATGCGCTGGCAGACAGAAAAAAAAAAAACAGATCCGCGGACGGACGTAAAACTGGGAAAAACAGTGCAATCATCACTTATTCATGTCGCTAACTACGTTGCTTGCTGTTTTATATCTTAGGGTTAGGGTTAGGGTCAGGGTTAGGGCTAATTGTAGTTTATATTCTATGTTTGTGAATGGTGCGTCAGATGCGCATGCGCATATGACGAAAAAAACGTCCAAAACATACAAAATAACGGTGCATAACTTTTTGTACGATTTCATACGAACTCATAATTAGAATACACTGAGTTTGTGGGGGTATTGTCCAGAGATAGTTGTAGACGTTGGAGGATGGACAGGCAGACTAATGGTGAGTCCAGAGGAGCAGTGGAGCGGACTGTCACAGACTTTCTTAAACAGAGTTGCAAACTGAAACAGTGAATGATTTCCTTTTTTTCCTCAGAGAGACAAGTTAATTCCTTCCATAGCTTGAAGGACCAGGCTTATCCAGTGGATCAGGTGATTATCCTGTCGGAGACCACAAAATGACAAAGGGTTAGATCTAGAGGACTCAAAAAGACAAAAACTCTTTGATTAGACTCAGGTAAGCTCAGAGAGGCTAGAGTACCCAATACTGGCAATCACTCTGGCGTCGAGGTGGTAACAGTCCGCTGCTCAAATACTCCTCTGGTTATGGCCCAACGAGCCGCAGGTGTGGGAGGAAAAAACCTAAGCCACCCTCCAGACCAAAACAGGGAAGGGGCACCATCTAGTGGTGGAAGGAGAAACTAATGCAAAACACAAAAACAATCCCCACAAACAGAACCCTAACACTCAGCTGGTATAAGTATCGCTTACACTTGACATCCCACCTCCACCCTTTTCCAGAAAGGATAAGAATGGGTACCATTTCTCGTCAAATTTGTTACATTTACCTTTCAATATCTTATTTTTTCCATGACCTTGTTAGTTGCCATTTCTTTCAGTCAGTCATTTACATGTGGTGCTTGGACTTTTTTCCAAAACAGAGCTATAACACGCTTAGCTTATAGCAAACACATGTCAAGAAAAGTATATTCCTTTCTTCTCAAAGACATTTCAAGAGGATATAAGTGCAAAACAAATATTTTTGCTGATAATGGTAGATTAATACTTAATACTGGCAAAACTATACATCAAACCAAGGAAAGTTTATAAGGCTGAGTTGGAAGAATCCTGAGAGTGGATTGATAACAAATTAGATATTTGGTGGATTGAGATCAGGGCCTCTGTGCTCAGCAGCCTCCAGGCCTGGCCTGCTCTGCAAAGCTAGGCCACAGGAGCAGTGGGACCACACTGTGGGCGTGTCCACCACCATACTCCCAGTATTACACTGAGGGTGTGTCTACCACCATACTCCCAGGACCACACAGAGGGGGTGTCTACCACCATACCAGCAGGACCACATGGAGAGGGGGTGTCCACCACCATATTCCCAGGACCACACTGTGGGGGTATCCACCATCATACTCCCAGTATTACACTGAGGGTGTGTCTACCACCATACTCCCAGGACCACACAGAGGGGGTGTCTACCACCATACCAGCAGGACCACATGGAGAGGGGGTGTCCACCACCATATTCCCAGGACCACACTGTGGGGGTATCCACCATCATACTCCTGGAGCAGTAGGACCACACTGTGGGGGTGTCCACCATCATACTCCCAGTATTACACTGAGTGGGTGTCTACCACCATACCCGCAGGACCACATGGAGGGGGTGTCCACCACCATATTCCCAGGAGCACACTGTGGGGGTGTCCACCGTCTTACTCCCAGTATTACACTGAGGGGGTGTCTACCACGAAACTCCCAGGAACACATGGAGGGGGTGTCTACCACCATACTCCCAGGAACACACTGAGGGTGTGTCTACCACCATACTCCCAGGAACGCATGGAGGGGGTGTCTACCACCATACTACCAAGAACGCATGGAGGGGGTGTCTACCACCATACTCCCAGGACCACACGGAGGGGGTGTCTACCACCATACTCCCAGGACCACATGGAGGGGGTGTCCACCACCATATTCCCAGGAGCACACTGTGGGGGTGTCTACCACCATACTCCCAGGACCACATGGAGGGGGTGTCCACCACCATATTCCCAGGACCACACTGAGAGGGTGTCTACCACCATATTCCCAGGACCACACTGAGGGGGTGTCCACCACCATATTCCCAGGACCAGACTGAGGGGGTGTCTACCACCATACTTCCAGGACCACACGGAGGGGGTGTCCACCACCATATTCCCAGGACCACACTGAGAGGGTGTCCACCACCATACCTCCAGGACCACATGGAGGGGTGTCCACCACCATACTCCCAGGACCACATGGAGGGGTGTCCACCACCATACTCCCAGGACCACATGGAGGGGTGTCCACCACCATATTCCCAGGACCACACTGAGAGGGTGTCCACCACCATACTCCCAGGACCACATGGAGGGGTGTCCACCACCATACTCCCAGGACCACACTGAGGGGGTGTCCACCACCATACTCTTAGGACCAGACTGAGAGGGTGTCCACCACCATATTCTCAGGACCACACTGAGGGGGGTGTCCAATATCTGACTGCCGGAGCTGTTCAAAATCAGCCTACTATGGCTAACAAAAGGATAAGGACAACACACATTACATCTCATATGTATGAGATGTATAAGTTTGTGAATTAATGGAGCAACAGAAAACTTTTTATAAGGAAATGCTACAGCAGCAGGGAAGTAACTTCAAGGCTTGTTTGAATGTTTTGTTGGATAGTACAAACTCCAGAGTGGATGCTATTCTAGAAGATCTACAGGAATTAAAAACTAGTCTACAGTACACACAAAAGGAAGTAGATGATTTGAAAGCTCTTAACACAACTATGTCATCAGATTGCAAAACTACTCAGGAAGAAATACATAAGCAGGCAGAATCTGTGATCATTATTGATGGCAAAATAGATGCTTTAGATTCTCAAGCCAGACTTATATAAAAGATAATGAAAAAAATCACTTGATTCTGAAAACAAGGCGATGGCTGTCTTTAAAGAAAAACTGGATCTGGATACCAACCGCATAGGCATTGAAAAATTACAGCGTCTTGGAAAACTAGACAAAAAGACACAAGATACAAAACCCCGACCGCGACCTCTGATGGTGAAATTTTTAAGGCTTAGGGACAGAAATGCTGTGGTACACAGCTTGAAGAAGCTGAAAGGATCAAACTGCTTCATAAATGAAGATTATCCTGACTCAGTCCGTCAGAAAAGAAAAGAACTGGTCCCCCAAATGAAAGCCGCTAGAGAAAGAGGGGACATTGCCTTTTTAAGGTATGACAGGCTGATTGTACACAAAAAACACTAAAGGATTAGAAAATATCTGCAGTTAGAACATCATTGCTGATACCCATCCATCCATCCATCCATCCATCCATCCATCCATCCATCCATCCATTATTTGACACGCTTATCCCAATTGGGGTCGCGAGGGGTGCTGGTGCCTATCTCCAGCTGTCAATGGGCAAGAGGCGGGGTACACCCTGGACAGGTTGTCAGTCCATCGCAGGGCAGCTGATACCTAGTATGGCCAGTTTTCCAAATAAAAGCCTAAAAGTTGCTGACCTAAACATATGTAGCGTGAGAAATAAAGTGCATGAAATAGAAAATTTTCTGAATATTAATAACATTAATGTTCTCGCTCTGTCAGAGACTCATTTAGATGGCTCTTTTGATATTGAAGAATTAAGCATATCTGGGTACAGTTTGTTCAGAAAAGATGGAAATCAATATGGTGGAGGTGTGGCCTTTTACATTCAAAGCAACATACCTGTAAAAATAAGTGAAGATGTCATGTGTAAGGATCTATCAGAATCAGAATCAGAAATACTTTAATAATCCCAGAGGGAAATTACTTTTGTTACACGCTCCAGTTACAGTTTTACATGATATATACACACATCCAACTATACAATATAATATAGATAAAAATAAGAATAAAAAGAGATAAAATATATACACATATAGCTCTTCTGTATATATTTCTGTACATATATCTATGCATATGTAAAAACTAAATCCAAATAAAGTGAAATATTCTTTAGAGGTCTTTTGGCTTCAAGTCAGCTTCCCTTATATAAAGCCTATTCTAATCAAATGTTGTTATAGACCTCCATCTTCTAATATTAATTATTTGGAAAATATTGGTAGAATGTTAAAGAAGGTATGTGACCTAAATATGGAAGTTGTTTTCACAGGGGACTTAAACATTGATTGGCTGGATAAAAAGTGTCCATTAAAAAGTCATCTGACTAATATAAGTAATGCATGCGGTTTAAAGCAAATTGTGACACAGCCTACGCGCATGAGTACAAACAACAGGGGTGTAAGCACATCTACCTGTATAGATCATATTTACCTCTCAGTAAATTTTAATTACACAAAAGCCGTGTCAACACCAGTAGGCTGTACTGATCATAACATGGTCATCATTGCTAGAAAAACAAAAGTCCCTAAAGCTAGACCTAAAATTGTATTCAAAAGATCTTATAAATCTTTTTCTAATGAAGCGTATCTGAAGGACATTCAAAATCTATCTTGGACAAAAGTTTTTAAGGCAAATGATACAGATACCGCACTAGACATATTTTTGAACAATCTTCTGCCCATTATAAATAAGCATGCCCCTGTTAAAAACTGACTGTGAGAAGGTATCAAGCACCTCGGGTTGATCATGAACTAAAGACTTATATATCTCAAAGAAATGATGCCAATCATTTAGCACAAAAAACTAAATCTGTAGAAGATAAGCAAAAATATTGCAACTTAAGAAAATTTATCAGATAGGTCACAGAGTGTGTATTTCAATGGTAGTTTTTCAAAGAGGGTGTCAGTAAACTGTGGAATTCCACAAGGCAGTTGCCTTGGGCCACTTTTATATGCCATCTTCACAAATGATCTACCATTAGTATTAAAATATGCTAAATTAACAATGTATGCAGATGACACAACTGTCTATGCATCTGCAAAATCAATATCTGAATTAACTTCCATTTTAAATAAGGACTTAAAAATTGTAGAGCAATAGGTTTTAGATAATAAATTAGTTTTGAACATCTCAAAGACAAAAACTTTAGTACTTGGTTCAAACAAGTCTCTTAAACATGACCCAAAGTTAAATTTCTTAATAAATAACACACTCATCGAGCAAGTAACAGAAGTGAAGCTTCTCGTTGTCTATTTGGATAATAAACTCTCTTGGTCAAGACGCACTGAAACAGTTGTAAAGAACATGGGCAGAGCTTTAGCTATATTGAGAAGATGTAGCAAATTTTTGCCAGCTGATTTGACTAAGCTTATAGTAAGAACATTAATAATTTCTCAAATTGACTACTTTCAAACAAACACTGTTTGTGTTTGTTCAATTTAAGAATAATTTGGACTCTCATGGTTATGCCACGAGACATGCAGCTGAAGGACGATTTGTAATTTTTAGGGCGAAAACTAATTTTCTCAAATGCACCTTTACTTACAGAGCAATGAAAGAATGGAACTCATTGCCATTCATTCTCATAAAAATTGTACATAAATCTGCTTTTAAAATGCAACTTGAGAAGTTTTTAGGAGCAACTTTTCTTTAAATGAAATAGTTTCATATTCTTATTTATTGTAACTTATTCATAAAATGTTAAAATTGTAAATTTTAAAATGTAACTTTCTTCTTTTCTATGAATGTTCAGTCTTATTGATATGTATATGATATTTGTCATCTGTCAAACATGTTCATGAATTTACATTGTATACTGTATTTTAATGATGTGGACCCCAGGAAGAGTAGCTGGGTGTTAAGCACAGCTAATGGGGATCCTAATAATAAATAAACAAATAAACAAACTAGTCTATATTACCCCAAATGGGGCTATAACAAGAGAAATTGTTAGGAATTCCAGATGTTTCTTCACCAGATACCGTACTTTAATCATATTAAGAACAATTGGGTTTGAACAGTTTTTCCGGTGGTGTTTGAGATTAGCTGAGTATATATACCTTTTTAAGGTCAGACCCTGTGTGACTTCCGCTGATTCCATGTTAACCAACGATGGGGGACTTTCTGTAGAAAAAAACCCCATTATGTTTCTGATCTGGGCCGCCCAATAGTACCATCGCACATTAGGGCACTGGAGCCACCCTCTTTCATATGGCAAGTACTAAAGTGAAAGGCGGAGCCTGGGACGCCTATTGTTTCAAATTAAGTTGGTGAATAACTTAGTAAGTTTCATAAAAAGGTGCTTTGGCAGTGGTAAAGGAATATACTGAAATAAGCACAGTAATTTGGGTATAATATTATTTTTAAAATATTAATGTCATTTTAAAACATAATAAAACATTATTTTCTAATAATGTTACATAATTTACAGAGACTATGTTCTCTAATAATAATAATAATAATAATACATTTTATATGAAAGCGCCTTATCAAAACACCCAAGGACACTGTACAGACAGATAAAACATTAAAAACAGGAAACTAAAAAGTACAAGCAAAAAGATGCCACAGTAAACAAAACAGCAGGAAGTAAAATAAAGCCAAAGGAAGAAAAGGAAGAAAACAATATTGGAGTGATGCATATGAACTAGATGGGATAAGACTGTCTGAACAGGAAAGTTTTGAGTCTGGACTTTCAAAAGAGGGAAGGAGTCCAGAGTACGGAGATCCGGAGAGAGGGAGTTCCAGAGGTGGGGAGCAGAGCGACTAAATGCCCGGTTCCCCATTGTGACAAGACGGGCCGAGGGAACAGAGAGCTGGAAGGTGTGGGAGGATCGTAGGGAGCGGGTGGGGGTTTTAACGTGAAGGAGATCTGAGATGTAAGATGGAGCCAAGCTGTGGAGGGCCTTGAATGTAGTTAGGAGGAGTTTGAAGATGATTCTTTGTCTGATGGGGAGCCAGTGGAGTTGTTGCAGGATGGGAGTAATATGATGAGAAATGGGGGTCCGAGTGATCAGGCGTGCTGCAGAGTTTTGGAGGAACTGTAGTTTCTGGAGGGACTTGTTTGGAAGGCCAAAAAGAAGTGAATTACAGTAATCGATGCGTGAAGTGATGAGACTGTGAACAAGAATGGCGGTAGTTTGGGGAGTGAGGGAGGGACGGAGACGAGAGATGTTACGCAGATGGAAGTAGGCAGACCGGGTGATCTTGTTAATGTGGGACTGGAAGGAGAGGGTGCTGTCGAGGACGACACCCAGACTCTTAACCTGAGGGGAGGACAGTTGAATCATTGATGGTAATCAAGAAGTTATTAGCTTTGGAGAGAGTGTGAGGTGTGCCTACTAGGAGGACTTCGGTTTTAGAGCTATTCAGTTTGGGGAAGTTGGATGAGAACCAAGAATGGATTTCTTGGAGACAGAGGGTGAGGGAGATTGATGGGAGTAAGGCAGAGGGTTGAGTAGAAAGGTAGAGCTGGGTGTCGTCCACGTATCAGTGGAATATGATGCTTACGGAGGATGTAGCCAAGAGGGAGGATGTAGATAATAAACAGGAGGGGCCCCAGGACAGAACCTTGGGGCACACCAGCAGAAACGGGGAAGTAGATGGATTTATGAGATTTGAGTTGTATGAACTGTGTCCTCTAGCTTTGGTAAAACTCGTATTCCCAGATATGTAAAGCTGTCGTTTAAATGAAAATTTGTATTGTTGTTCTGGAAATGTACCCTATTGTTATCATCTAGTAACATTAACATGCTTTTTGAGTAATTGACTTTATATCCTGATATCTTCCCAAATGTTCTGATGAGCTTTGAAAAAAAACCCGGTAAGATTTTTAAGAAAAAGGAGAACATCATCAGCAAACAAAGCAAATTTGTGTTCCATCTGGCCAACATTAACTCCAGTTAATGTTTTCTAACTGCAAGGGCAAAGGGTTATATAGAAATTACAAAGAGGAGAGGAGAAAGACGCAATCCCTGCTAATATCCCCTCGATATGTTGAAAGGTTTGACACTGTAGTGTTTGTAAGTACCTCAGCTACTAGGTCATTACAGAGAATTTTAACCCATTTGCAAAAATTCTCCTCAAAATCAAATTTAGTCAATAAATCAAATAAGTAAGCCACGTCATAAGGTTGAATGCCTTCTGTGCATCGAACGATAAAATGGCAGTATCTGGTGCATTCTGCTGGTTATGAAGGATATTGAGAAGCCTTCTAACATTATGAAATCCTTGTCTATATTGTACAAAACCATTTTGGTCCTCTCCAATTAAATAAGCTAATACTGCTTCCAATCTCTGTGCCAACAGTTTACATAAAATGTTTGTATCTGAATTAAGAAGATTTATTGGGCGCATGTTTTCATATTTTGTATTACTTTTTCCTGGTTTTGGTAGTAATGTAATTAGTACTCGTCTCATTGATGTCAGAAGAATGCCAGATTCAAATACCTCAACTGCCATATCTGAAAAGGGATTTATTAATTTTACTTTAAAATTCCTAGAAATATCTTTGAACTTTATTTTACTTTGGGAACATTTTTCACTCAATATAACTTTGCATCTTCTGGGATCAAACCCACAACCCTGGATTCTCTCTTTCTCTTCTGCCCTTCTTCTCCCTCCCCTTCTTCCCTCTTTCTTCTGTTTGTTCCCCCCCTAAGCAGAGTATGTTTCCCAAGCTTTGGCGCAGTGGTTAGCGCATTAGTCCTCAACCAGGACCGGGGTTCAGATCTGACCTGTGCTCCTTTGCCTCAAAATTTTGCCTAATTTGAACCAAAGTCTATTGATCTTTTAGGCTATAAATCTAAAGAAAAACATTTTTTACTTATAGACGGCCAACCTAAACTGCCAGATTGGGAAACATCCCAACCTGGCAACAATACATGTAAGACTGGAAACATTAGCCTTTAGATGCAAAACCCCATCATGCACCGCAACATATTTTTGCATAATATTTGATTTATAAATTTGCCAAATATAAGAGGAACATTGTAGTTTGGTTTAAAGAAAACATTTTAGTTTTATTATAATTGATTTGGTTGCAAGGATTTTACAGTTTGAAGAAATAGAAAATTACACCATATGCCAACCGTCACAAGGGAATAACAAGGAAGGGCTACATATAGTGTATGCATCATTTAAATAGTTAACCTTGTATTACTTCTTGAGCTCCTTTAGTTATTTACTGTCACAGGTAGGTGCTTCGACCGGAGAGTAAGTTTTGGTGCCAGTATGGTTTAAGGAGGGCCGGCCCTCACATGCTGAAATTAGGACTGGGCCATCGGGTTTGAGTTAAAGTTTTAACTTTAACATAATAAACACTAATAATCACAGCAATAAATAGAAAACTAATACAGAAACATATCAGAGTGTATTTTCATGAGTTTCTTCACTGCTTTCTTTGTCTTTCAAATGTGATTCTACTAAGGTCACTTGAATGCTACACAGTTTTCTTCCTTTGAAAAGAAATCGCTACAACTTAGCTCCTAATCAACACGTTGGATAGTATCAAACTGTAACAGATTTTTAAATGGATCAGTGTCTGTTTTAAAAAAATGGACTTAATGTTCTAATGTAAGATTTTTTAATACTTATTTTTGAAATAAAGAGAGATTAAGCCTTCACCTTTATGTCTTTACTTCCACCTCTCCAGATCTAATCTCCTACATAACTGTTGCCTGATCTCTTAACAATACGGGACAATCTATCAATGCAAGACTTAATCAAGGAATTGGAAATTAAAGAAATACCCATTCTAAAGGCAGGTTAATGTTTGTGGATGGGAGAACAACTCCCTTTCTTGCGTTGAAGGTTTGTAATATCCTTATTTGTTAAATGTAAAGTGCAGCTTTCAAATTCTGAAATGCAAAATAACACAGACATTACTTTCTTATACATGGATATACCTGGGGTACATATTCCAAGTTATTATGGTATCCCATCATCTATCACTACTAGTTTAGCATTTCTTATAAATTAAGCATAATTTAAGTTTTTTTTTTTTTTTTTTTTTTTTTTAAATTTTCAGTAAAATGTTTGATTTTGAATTTTTTTTTTTTTTTTAGGTGGGAAGGAAACTGGGGTACCCAGAGAAAACCCACACATGGAAAGGAATAGGGCAAAACTTAAAATACATAATAAATAAAATAATATAAAATAGAAATAACTAAAATAAAATCGGTATCTTTCATTCAGAACAGAACAAGGGGAAAACTTGTTCAGTAAAATGTTTGATATTAATTTTGATTTTTTTTTTTTTTTTTACGTGGGAAGGAAACTGGGATACCCAGAGAAAACCCACACATGGAAAGGAATATGGCAAAACTTAAAATCAGTTGATTAAGCGAGGAAGGAATGAGGGGTGAAGGGAGGAAGAGATGAGGAGATTAAGGGAGAAACGGTGAGGGGATGAAGGGAGGTAGGGATGAGAGATGAGGGGATAAATGGAGAAAGGAATGAGGGGATGTAGGGAGGAAGAGACTGAGTTAATGGATTAACTTCATTTAATTTCCAGTAAGGCTGCTGATATTATTTTATTCTTGGGGACAAAGGCAACACCAGTTCATGTTGGAGAAAAATGTCTTTACTCTATCCCAACAACTATTTTTGGTTTTATCTTTAACTAGCTGTGAGGGATCATCAAAGGTTGTTAAGATGTTGATATCTTGAAATGACGATTTGGTGTCTTCAGATCCTTTTAGGAGCGGTTCCTCAGAATTGCCTTGTTTGTTTATCACCTTATGTCTAGAACTTGGTGGCGATACTTGTTTCTGGTCAGAGACACTAACTGATGCCGGTTGGGGTGTCACAGTCGGGGATACTGTGTATAAACCGGACGATTTGGTGTCTTCAGATCCTCTTAAGAGCGGTTCTTCAGAATTGCCTTGTTTGTTTATCACCTTATGTCTGGAACTTGGTGGCGATGCTTGTTTCTGGTCAGAGATACTAACTGATGCTGGTTGGGGTGTCACAGTCGGGGATTCTGGGCATAAGCCAGGTGATTTGGTGTCTTCAGAACCTTTTAGGAGCGGTTCCTCAGAATTGCCTTGTTTATTTATCACCTTATATATGGAACTTGGTGGCGATGCATGTTTCTGGTTAGAGACACTAACTGATGCTGGTTGGGGTGTCACAGTCGAGGATTCTGGGCATAAGTTGTAGCAAATGTCTGGTTGT